GGGGGGGGGGGGGGGGGCAGGTGGGGTAGGGTGGGATGGGGTTGGGGGGGCCACCCACAGCCCCGGGGCCCACTCACACTGCAGGTACCAAGCCCTCCAGATTGCGTTGCTGGATCTTGTCCCGCTGTAGGAGCTTCGGGCCCCTGAACATCTTCCACTTGGGGGACACCATTCATTTGCCGGGAACAGAACGGAGGTATTTAGGTGTGGGTGCGGACCCCCCCCAAGAGATAAGTATCCCGCACCCAACCAGCCCAGCGTCGCACCCAGCAGGGTCCCAGGGCCAGGAGGAGGGAGGCAGCTGGTGGGGGGGGGTCCTCCAAGGGGGGCTCTCTAGACCTCACCCTGCTTTTTCTGCCATAACCCCCCCCTCCCCTGCGTCCAGTTTCATGCCATGGTCCCGCTGCACCCATGGCCAAACTCCTTCTGTCCTTGGGCATGTACCAGAGGTGGGGGCTTGCAGAGCTGCTCTGCACTGATGATGCTTTCCTGGCCTGTCTGGCAGCGACTGTCACAAAATCTGCTGGGACACAGCATGCTGGAGCCCAGGACCCAGGTTCATGATGGGGAGAACAAGGGAGGTTTCCAGACTCCTTGCAGTGGCAGAGGATTGGGAGAGGGAGATGATAAAACCCACTCAAAGAGCATCCAAAGGCATGTGGTTGGTAATCAAGACCTCAAGCCACAGCAAAGTGAGGGAAGACTTCAAGAAGAAACAGGATCTGTCTTATCTTCAAAAACACAGGCAGGGTGCCTTGCGCACCCCACGACAGCACTGTGGCCCCTTGCTCCACCACTGTCCTTATCTCCCTTCTATTCATGTCCCCCCCCCTAAGAAGGAGGGGTGGTGGTGTCTGAAGAAACTGGCAGCACTTCGCTCCCCCAGCTCTGGGGCCCAGGTTGTTGCCATGCCCAGCTCCTCTGCCTCGAGCGCCCTGCACTGCCCCTTCCACAGCAGCGGCTGTGAGATGTGACAGAGCAAATCAAAGGTTGGGGTGCTGGCAGAGCCCAGCAGTGCAAGGCTGTTGCTCAAGTCGTGTCTTTCCTGGTGGGCAGCAAGCCAGTGAGGGCTCTGGCTGTAGTCCAGCAGCTCTCTAGGTGTGGCGTCCCAACCTTGTGGGTGCCCCACGGCTGCGGGATGGGGAGGACTCTGGGATGGCTCCCCCCCTGCTCCAGAGCAACAGCCTGAGCAGATGGGAGAGCAACAGGCTCAGAACAGTCTCCAGTCAGGACACCTTTCCTCAACGCAGGCCCTCACAATCTGAGGTGATGTGCGACCTTCTAGCTCCATGTGGGGCTCCGCGTTGGCAATTCCAGCCTCAGGAGGATCCCTGATCCACGGCTTTGCTGACATGCCTGCCCTCCTGGCCCAGGGCAGCTCTGGCCTCCCGGGTGTCAGGCTGATCAGCACCAGGCAGCTGCCCCGGCCTCCTCCTGCTGCCTGCGCCCCGCTCCCGCCTCGGCGTGCAGCTCTGACACCGTGAAGCGGCCGCTATGTATGATCCGGGGGTGCACCATGGCGGGGGTCTCCCTACCGCCTCCCCAGCGCCCGGCCTGACCCGCCGCTACGGCTACAGCGGGCTGCCGGCTCCCTGCCCGGCTTCATTCCTTCGCTGCCGGTCCTCGGGCCTGCCCCGGCCCCGTCCCGGGGCGAGGCCTAGGCCGCTGGGGCTGAGGCCGGCCTGCGCCCCGTTCCCATAGCAACCAGGAAGGAGGGCCCTGCACGCATGCGCAAAGCCCACCGCCGCGCAAGGGATGCCGGGGGCTGTAGTTCCCAGCCCCACGGCGCCGCACAAGATGGCGCCTAAATTTCGTCCTCCCCGAGCTGCCGGTTCCCCGTGTCCGGCGGTGCGCCGCGGCAGGGCGGGCTGCGTCGTGCCGGTACCCCCCGGGGCAGGAGGTTACCCCCATCCCCGCCTCCTCCCGCACCCTGGGAGAGGTCCTACAAGCCTACTTGTTCACTCTGGCCCCTACCGATGGCAAGGAGGGCCACGCAGGAGGCCCCACGCTCGTCCCCACCGCCCACAAAGCCACCCTCCCCGGGCAGGACCCACGCCACGGGCAGCCATTTCCACTCTTTATTCTCAGTGAGGAGTAGCAGCGGGGCCCTGGGGGGGGGGGGGGGGGAAATGAAGCAGGCCCGCCTCCTTCCCCCCCCCAAGTGCAGGCAGTGTCTGTGTGTGAGGGGAGGGGGCGTGCCGCTTCCCTGGCCACGCCTCCAGTAGACCTAGGCTCCGCCCCTTCCCCCCGTGCCATGGTGGCGGGCGGGTGTGTGCTCTGCCCCATGCCCCGCCCCCGTTTAGGGGGCAGGGGGGTGGGTGGGGGCGTGG